CTTCTCTCGAAGCCTTAACATGACTTAAAAAGAGCCACTGTGAAATTATGTAATATTTATGTTTAAGTATATAAAACATATGTAAATATTTTGTGGAAAAGTATGTTTTCTTCTTGGCTTAATAATGATTTGTCAGAGTGTTACATTAAAAAAGAAACAATAACCCTCTAAGATGCATGTTCTTCCAGGGTTTTATAGCTGATCTGTAGCTTTAGCTAGTGTTTGTCTCAAAATTATATGTGCATTAAGTACATTATAAGAATGTTTTGGGCTTATGTACCTAGAGGACGCCAGTCCTTAAAAAGAGCCACTGTGAAATTATGTAATATTTATGTTTAAGTATATAAAACATATGTAAATATTTTGTGGAAAAGTATGTTTTCTTCTTGGCTTAATAATGATTTGTCAGAGTGTTACATTAAAAAAGAAACAATAACCCTCTAAGATGCATGTTCTTCCAGGGTTTTATAGCTGATCTGTAGCTTTAGCTAGTGTTTGTCTCAAAATTATATGTGCATTAAGTACATTATAAGAATGTTTTGGGCTTATGTACCTAGAGGACGCCAGTCTGATATATTCAGTATCCTCTCCTCCCAGTAACTTCTGAACTAATTTGATCTAGCAGTATTTGCTGTGTTTGTCAAAGAACTTGAGCAATATTAATTTCTCACCTTGTTCTTAAAATTAAGAGACTTCTTACAGGAGAGGGACCCCCGCATGAGGTAAGGTGTATTAGGGGATTATCCCTTTCTAGATCTCAGTGAGTTCATAGGAAAACATTACTGAGATAGGAGACAAGCATTGGGAAGATGTAACACTAATGAGCACAGAATGACTATTTTTGAGGAGCACTCTGCAAATGAAGAGTTGGTATTAAGGTATGTTAGCATTCTATGTCTTTTTTGTATGTGGTTGGCAGTAGATAGAGCAATTTTAATTACACATCAGCAGGCTTCTTCCAGCTGCCCTTTATTAGACTATAAAACTCCATAGTGTAGCTAAATTGCAACTCTCCCAAGATCATGACAATGATCAAAACTTTAATGCTACAAGACTTACGAAAAAAATAACTTTTAAAAGCAGCCTGAAATGCATCTAAGTTATTTTGAATCTCTTTAGTAAGCATGGCAAGCATCTCTTTGGAAAAGTAAATAACCAAACTCTAATGCATAATGTTTAATAAATATTAGAGGGCACTTAGGAATGTTGTATTAATTGGATTTCTTGAGTAGCAAAACATTTCTAACACTGTAATTTTGCAGAAAGCAAAGGTGCCTCTTGCTGTGCAATTAACTGATTTATTAACCGTAGAGTTGGTTGGCTGCGGGCTGACCTGATGTTCTTACAAGGGCTTGCACTTATTTCTCATGTTAATCTTCAGATTACAGGCTCAGACCAAGGTGAAAGGAAGCCAGCATTTTATGCCTTCTCCAGCAAGCCAGTACAAAGCTACCTGAAACAACTAGTGATTAAGTGGCTCTAGGTCCAAGAAAAAAGCTTTTTGGAGACTGAGAAACTGCTGTGGACAGATGATATTTTTCTTATTCAGCCATACTGGTGAAAAGGCTTGCAAGACCAAACTCTTGATCACTTTTCATGATTGGAAGCCTGTGCAAGAACTTTATAACCTATTTTTGCTCAAAGAGAACCAGAGTAACTCAAATAGACTGAATAGTTCAGTTAATGTTCAGTCTTTGCTAACTTTAGCTGAGTCGGAGCAGGGGGCTCCGAGGAGAGCAGCTGCAGCGGGTACAAGGAGCTGGCTGGCACAACACAGCTGTGTGCAAAGTGCCTCTGTCCATGTCCTTACTGCATTTGTGGCTGCAATTAAGGATCTGACGATCAGGCCTTTCCTGCATTCCTGAGGAACGTCAAGTCAGCATCAGATGGCCATTGCCTACAGCTGCAGGCTGCGCTGACCTTGAAGATCTCCTCAGAACTAGCCCACGTTTGCTCCTCTTACCATACCAGGCCTCACGTCAGCAGAGCGGCCGTGTGCGGGTGCTGGGTGTCATCTGTGGGCATTTTGTATGTTGGCCTGTTGGCCCCTCTACCCCAGGGCGAGCTGCTTCCTATTAGCAGGGTTGTGTCTAGTGCCAGTGCTCTGCTGGGAGGCCATTTCTGCGTCTTGAGGCAATGTAGCCTACTTGGTGGATCCTTGGTGCAGACTAGGCCTGAAGATAAAGCAAGCTTGGATTTGTGTCATTTGAGAGGGGAGGTTTGCTCTACTTGTAACTACTATGCTGTCTGGAAAGCAGTCCCTTAGTTTGCTTCTGGCCACACTCAAAATTCATGCTGGTTGTTTCTGGACAGCAATTGTTGAATACAGAATTCCTCCTAGAGGAGGATCCTAATTTTAACTGCAGAAAATATTGAAGATATGAGAATTTGCAGATATTGAAGATATAAGAATTAATGCTGCAAGAGTCAGTAATTTGATTAAATTTTGCTTCCTTTGTAAAGGCCATCAATTCTCACTGGAGTTGTGTAATGTAGATAAACAGCTTTACCAGGGGAAGTTATTGTGTTATTCCTAAGCCAGTGAGGCCTAGGTACTTCAATGGCCTATAGGCATGGCAGGATTTTCTTCCAAGTGTTCAGGCATCTGAGGTTTAGGTACAAGTTTATTGCTTACATGTGATTCTAAATACCCTTTTAAGTGTGTATGAGACCTTTGAAATACTGGTCCTTACCCACCACTCTAACTTGCCATCTGAAAGTCGCAATCTTTCATTGAAATAGGACACCTTGTCCAAAATGTACTAAAGCTAGAAAGATGTAGATTAACTGGCATCTAGTTCTCTGCAAAGAATGAGTGTTTTTAAATTGCTTAATACAGTTAGCAGCTGCTCTACAGCAACTGAAAAGTACAAACCATGAAAGAAATAGTCTAGAAGCACTGTCACTAGGAACAGCAGAGTGATTAAAACTGTTCAGAAAGGATTTCATTTAGAAGGAATGGGCCTTAGAAATGGAGGTTTTCCCTCCATTTTTCGAGCAACTTGTAGATGCCTTTCCTATTTTTAGACAAAAGCTAGCTTACACATCTGTTAAACATCAGGTTAGAATATGAAAATCAATATTTGGAAGGAAACATCAGCTGCAGTTGACATTTCTTCAGACTCCTGGAATGTGATCTTAGCGTGTCATATACTGTAAGATAATAATAGAAAATAATTATTTTTGCTGCTCTAAATAATAAAAATATGTATGGCAGAACGCCTGATGCAGCAAATGACTAGTCCTGTTGGCTTGGTGTTCTTGGTTTGCCTGCTGTCCGTTTGCTGGTGGTCCTGGATGGACTGTCAGGCCTTGGTCTTGCAGCAGGCGTTGCTGCAGTGCAGCCACTGCTGTCACCTGCAGCCACTGCTGTGGGACTGTCCCTGGGCCCAGCAGTCACCCTGTGTGCAGCTGGATGTACCAGCTCCTGAGCGTCACTGTGGTGATGCAGACAACTCTGCTATTCACATGAGTTCATCACTTGATAGTTTTAATCATTCTCTAAATGGATGTGTCAAACTCCTGACTTGGGTAGCCAGGAACTGAATAGATATTGCTGCAGGAAAGTTAAAAGTGAGACCTATCAGTTTAATGACCATTTAAGGTGAATACATTGCAAATATCAGCAAGTGGAGTGCGCTGTGTTTTGAAGACATGGATTTTTGCATACTGTACAAGAAGATGGCTGGGTTATATATTCTTTGCTTTAACTGGGTTATATATTCTATACTCTTGACAGAGGTAGATGGTTTGTCTGCTGATGTTTGTGGCCCAGTATTCCTGTGAGCTCTCCTGTATCTCCTGGTCTCCAGTAATGCTGATGGGAATTAGACGATGTTTCCCTATTTAGTATTTCCTAAAGAGGATAAAAACCTAATACAGAAATTTTTGAACCATAGAGGTCTTGAGTTTTTTAGCTCATAGAGGTAGCACTATGAATGAATAACTGTCCCCTATACTCTCCAGGCTATTGAAGGATTTTTGAGGGGACAGTTCATAAGACCAGTCACATTATGATGACAGTGTTTTGCTAGCAGAGCCGGCTGAACAGCATAAAGAACTAGTGCAACCCCAGACCTTGGAGTTAGGTTCAAAGCTATAATATGAACATATATTTTATGCCTTTATTTGTATAAACATGTTTCAGAAATCTCTTGATTATTTATCTTAATGTAATATAGAGGTGAAACTGTTGAGAGACCTCAAAAGAAGTATCTGTAGTTATTTCTTTTCCTCTCAAAAAAAAACTCAGCGTGACTGTGTATCTGAATTTCTGTGTCTACATTCTTTTTCTCTCTTAATTGCTTTCTCTCTCTCTCAAGGCTAGAACCACTGTCCAGGGGGAATCTGAAGGTTTTATATGTTTGTCCAGAGTTTCTGAACATCTGCAGCTTGCTCAGAGGAGCAGTTTCAAATACACTGCTGGCTATTTGGCAATTTCAGGCACTCTTGCTGTTCATATTCAGTTAGACTCTACAGTGTGTGCCTAGAAAAATCTGCATTTCCAATAAACAATAAATCCTCTGCATGTGTTCAGTACAGTTGAGCTGTGTGTGCACAGTACGCTCTAGCAGCCTCAAGCCCTGGACTCCCTGAACCCATAATATTCTGTGCACAAACACATACACCTCTCTGGGAAATTCTCGAGAGAACTACAGCAACTCTGCCAAAAATCCCAGGGCTTTTTTTTGAACAAAACTTTCCAAGCCCTACAGTTTTCCAAAGACATAAACTCCCACATCTGGGTCTTGGCAATGAAAGAATAGTCTGATTTCCCTCCTTTGCCCCCCACCCTCCTAACATGCTATGTATTCATCATCTGCAAAACTCTTACGAGACTTCCAAATGTCAAGCATCTGTGGACTGATTTTTGTAGATATGCGTGTACATATATGTATATGTGCCTGAGTCTAAAATACATTGTTATGGTAAATGTTCCATTCTTGTCTGTCTAACTTTTTGTCTAACATTTTTTTGTTGTTGCTGTTGTTTCTCAACAGGCAGAAATACTCAGTGTGCTCAGTCACAAAAACATCATTCAGTTCTATGGAGCTGTCATTGAACCTCCAAATTATGGCATTGTTACAGGTAAGGATTCTTATTTGACTTTTGCTTGATTCTGTAATAACTCTGATTTTATAAGGTATTGGCTCTACTCAATTTCAGTAGTTTACTAATTGCTGTGGCCCCTCTTGAATGTTAGTCTTCAGCACCACCTGCCTCAATGTGAATGGGAATGCTGGAAATGGGAATCATACTAGCACCAAAATTTGTATCTACATAGAGGCAACTGCAGGCATTCTTAAAGCACAAATTCAGCACTCTCTTAAATAGAATCTTTCACTGTATTCACTTACCATGGTCTGTAAATTGTTTTTCCATTTTAATTGACATCTGAGAGAGAAGTCAAGACTTTCAGGATATGAAACTAAAAGGCTGAAGGTCTGCTCAAAACAAAGTTGTCCCATGAGTTCTTCATGTCTGGGGAATCTGAAAATCTACATTATGAACTTCCCACCTGCAGGCAAAGCATTGCTGCACTGGCCAGGCTCTCTCTCATAGAGAGCTGTCTATATCAGTAGACAGTGTCTCCAGGAGTTTCCACTGAACCTGCCAAAATTCAGTTATTTCTACCTGTCTTCTAGGGCTCAGATAATCAAAGTGGATGGTAGTGAATGGAGTAGGAGCACTTCTGAGATACTAAACTGTTGAAAGCAGCTGGAGCTTGATATACAGGAATGAAAATACCAGCATAACGGTGGTCAGGGTGTTGAAGCCACTTCATAGATTCCAGAGGTGCATGAAGGATGACTTTGGCCTGGATGCTAGGAGGCTGCACTGGTGATAGTGTGTCAAACAGGATTCTGAATATCTTCTTGGGGCAACGGCGATAGTAGAAAATTAATAAATCAACTAATATAATAAATTGCAATATAAGAATAATTAGTGTAAAGCAGAAACCAGACTAACAAATCAAATGTGTAATCAACAGCTGAGAATGATGCCTGCATCAGAAAGGCCTCAGTTTAAGCTTACAGAAGGTCAGTATTCAGAGATCATTTGACCAACTTGCCAGTCACAGGACAGAAAGCAGCCAAAGTAGTTCATTACGTCATTGGGAACACGGACACCTTTAACCATCAGTGAGAATAGGCTCTTCTAAGCAGTCCAACTACTTTATTACTAAGGGAATTTCGTCCTGACTAATGAAAAAAAAATTATTATTATTATTATTATTATTTTAAGTGCATTGGATTCTTCCTGAAATTTCCAAGGAGATTGGAGTCTCTTTGATTGGAACGGCACCAGGGTTGTAATTTCTCCAGACCATTTTCAAATGGAAGAACAGCTACTGAGAAAAGTGTTAATTGTACATGTATTTTTTTAGAGGGACTGCCATTCCATAATCCTCGGGATAGCCTTGTTGCTGCAAACTCACATTTCTTGTGAGGGAAAGGCCAAAACGAGAAGAAATTCTGAGACCCTGATGATATCTTCCGAATAGAGGGGTCAAGCACTGGGACATTAGAAGAGCTGCATCCATGGTCAGGGCATGCATCTCTTACAGGGGTGTCTACTAGTGTAGAACTGCTCGGCCATCCCTTGAGCTGCAAACGTGGATCACGTTATTACGAATGTCACTGACAGTCTCTGTAAACAGCAGTGTTCGTGTCTAGCTTTCGATTCTGCTTGTTGATTATAAGTGCCTCCGCCCAGAAGAGTCTTGGATCTTGCATATCCCTCTTGGCCAGAAGCACGGGCTGTATTCCACGCTGATAGGCTGAGTCCAAGAGTTCACAACTTTTCTAGCGCAAATACCTCTTTCCATTTGTGACAGAAAATTACTACCCTGTTATAATTTCCACATCCATAACTTTGTAGTAAAAACCTGTGGCACAATAGATTTACAGAAAGTATACTGAAGGCTTGAGTTGTTGACTGGGTTTCTTTGCCTCCATTCACCCAGAGCGGCAGAAGGTTCAGGGGCCTGAATTATCACTGACCCTGATGGATCAAATTATGCATTATAGAGGCATGCGAGATGTGCAGCCAACCTATTCCTGAGGAATCCGTTTTTAAGACATGGTGACATCATGTGTAATAAAGGCATATGTTTTATTTGTGGAAATGTGCAGGTCAGCAGCTCAGTGCTCTTTTTGTGACAACAGAAGCTACACTTTGGTCTTCTACAGAGGTGCCTATCAGCATGATGGTCACATCATAATGACCCCAAACTAACTTGCTACTTCTCTCTTTCATTTCATTTGACTTTAGAATCTCCTCGGATGGGCTATCCTAGTCCACCCTGCAGAATCAGTCTTGCTCCAGAGTTTCCTTTCTGACCTAGTTATCTCCCAGTGGCTTGGACTTTGTTGACAAAAAACGATATTTACTTTTTATGCATCTGCAGCTTATTGGCCACATAATCATACATCATAGTGTATTATCATTATTAACAGTAATATATATGGTTAACATAATATACATAGTTAAAAATAGCTTTCCAGTTCTGCAGACTTTCTAAGGAATGTAATAAATAAACTTGGGAGTTGGGGGATGAAAAGCTTGAGGTTCCTGCTCGCATCTCCCCTAGTCTTTGTGCTGCTTGGCCTAGTTCCCTGTGGCTGATGCCTCCAAAGCCACAGGAATTACATTACAGTAAAGTCTGTCCTCTACTCTGGCAAAGAGCTAGATGAAAATGTATCATTACCTGAACTGAAGAATGACTTTCTGTTGTCTTTTTGCTGAGACATTAATGAATAATAAATAAGTATAACTTATTTATGGCAATAAATACAAAGAAAAGGAACTGCAGTCTTTAGGCTGCTGCAGTTGAACTTGACCTGAAGCACATGTAAATCTGTTTACTTCAATGTTAGTCCTGTAGTTTCTTCCTTTCATTTTTTCATGAGCAAATAGTTTGATCTGCTGCTCCGTTCCTCCATGTTCCTGAGAAATAAAAGGGAGATATGAACGGAAAATTTTAATTTCTCTTTCTACCTGGAAACTCCTTTTCTACCGAAGTAGTAATAAGAATCACATGCTATAGATTCATTTCTTGCCTCTCCAGATCAGAACAGCAGTTAATTTCATTGTTTAAAAAATATAAGAATTTAAGGTTATATAAAAGTGGCACCGTGGCGCTTTTAGTTGTTAGCTAGCTCCATTTTCACAATTAAATATGAGTAGGAGTAACTAGCTTGATAGTCCAACTTTCAACCCTGCAAGTGCTGAAAGTTGGACTGGATTTTGTGTGTCACACATACAAACGCTAATGGGCCAAAAATCCCTTTGCTTGTACAATCCTGCTGTGGGATTACACCTGTAGGTGTAACTGAAAGCAGTTAAAAAACAAAACCAAAAGCTCCTGTTCATGGTTAACAAGGCATTGCTTTCTTAGCTGTGCTGACTTGTCTTAGGATGAGAGGATATAAACAAGTGAAAGTTTGTCACCGCTCTGATATAGCTGTAAAATCATAAATGCAAAAACTGTTTAATAACATATCTCAATTTTTAAATGGTTTTCTTTCTGAGCAGAGCTCTTCTTCATAAGACTTAAAAACCAGTAATTGCCAGAAACTTTTTCTCAGGAATTTGAAGAGCCATGCCTGATCTTGCTTTGTCAGCCTTTTCTATTGCCTGTTAAATTTAAGTCTGTTGTGGTATATGATTTTATATTATTCTTTTTTTTTCCTTAACAGTAGATTATGTCTGTATTGGGACAATCAGGGCAAACTATGTATACTTCTAGCAGTATTAGTTGCTGAGCCTAAATTTCAAGCATAAGGTAGACTTTCTTTTTCTTTTTTTTCCTTTTTCTTTTTTTTTGTGGTATTAGCAGAATTTTCATTAGATATTTCAATTCAGGTGTGGTGTTTTAAAATGACTTTTTTTTTTTTTAATAGAGTATGCTTCTGCTGGATCACTGTTTGATTACATTAATAGTAACAAAAGTGAAGAAATGGATATGGATCATATCATGACCTGGGCAACAGACATAGCTAAAGGTAAGCAAGGAAAATGGTTCAGTAACATTTTACACAATCTGTAAAGTGTGCAGCTGGAGATGCTTTCTCTATGACATCAGGAAAACTTTTCTGTACTTCCCTATTCAGATTATCTAAAGAAAACACTTGTGCTTTTTAATATGTTCCTTGGTTACTGTTTTTCTGAATCTCTTTCCATAGCCAAAATAATTTCTGGAGTAAAAGTGGCTTCTATGAGCCAGGTTTACTTCTGGTTTGCTCCTAAGTCCCAAGAGAATAATATTGTGGCTGTAGAATATATATTAAGTGCATAATTGTTAAGACATTTAAGGAACTTAAGAGGTTGTTCTCAGTTGACATACTGACATTATTCATATAACAACAGAACAAATTATTTTGTCCTTTGTGTTCTCTGTAACTACACAAGAATTACTGTAAGCTACTGGTTGAACATCTCTGCTCCCTGTGTAGGAAAACACTTTAGAGAATATAACTAGTTATGACATTAAAAAACATTAACTTGCCCATATAGAAGCTCTGAGAGATACACGAGCTTCGCTCAGTCCTTTTTACTGAAAATAGATTATGGGAGCTTTTTCTTCTCCTGCAGCCTATCGATATGACAGACGCACGTGCCAGCCTGTAATAAGGACAAGTAGCGGGAGCTGGAAAACATTATTGCTGATAAGTGCTGGCCACGCTCAGCCTCCTAACGTGACGGTTCCCTTGTTTTGTTTAGGAATGCACTATTTACATATGGAAGCTCCAGTTAAAGTAATCCACAGAGACCTGAAGTCCAGGAATGGTAAAGTATCTGAACACTGCATTTGCTGTTATTTGCTAATGTAACACTTGACTCTGTACCTGAGCTTTGTGAACATGCAGAACTAACTCCTTGGCTGTCATCAAGCCAGGCAAGGTGCTGTTGAGGCCCAGAGGAGCCTGTTCCCTGCTGTGTCCTCCTGCCAGGCCTAAGGCTGTCTAAGCTCACTTGCAGTACCTGGCATTGTGGAGGGCTCTTGCGTCTTGCTGTCTGTGATCACATTGGTCTTATCATGTCAGAGATTGCCTGAACGTTGCTCCTTTTTGGAAACACTGAGAGCCAAGAAAGACTAGCAGAAACTAGACACTATAGACTGAACAAGGCCTGTTGTTTCTTATCTGAAAATGTTGTAATCATTGTGGGCTACTTTGAAGTTTGACAGGTATTAATGCTTTTGAGTAACACAAACTTAATGTGGAGGTGCACTGGTTAGATTATACTTGGCACTTGAAAAGCAGGTATGAAATTTGCTAAATATTGACTTTAACTGAAACATCAGTTATTCATAGTGGGATAACAGGGACACACGATGCTGCATGGGGAGGTGATAGTAAAGAAAAGACTAATCCAGTTTCAGTTATAAGTTCTCTCTTTTTTTTTTTTTTTTTAAATGAATCTCTTGAAGTATTTGGTATTAGACCTAACCGCTACACTGGGGAAAATGGACTTCATCTATATTTTAGTCTACAAGTAATGGTTGCATTGCTACCTTTGAAATGGTAAAAAATGACTAAAATGTGAAGTTTTGAGTATGTGCAGAGACTTGCAAGTATTCAGCAGTTCTTCAAAGCTTCTCAGAGAAACCAGCATGAGGTCATATTTCTTGATGTAGCACAAACTGTTTTGCCATGAAAATGCATTGTGTTTATTTTTGTTAGAATTCTTGTAACATATTGCTTTTTTTTTTCAGTTGTTATAGCTGCTGATGGTGTTTTAAAGGTATGAATATTCTAATTATTTGTAGACAGATGTTGCTCCTTGACTTGATATTTTGATGCCCAATAAATGAGCGGTTGGTGTTCTAACGTCTGTTTGTTTTGATTTGTTTTTGCTAGATCTGTGATTTTGGTGCCTCAAGGTTCCACTCTCATACAACACACATGTCATTAGTGGGCACTTTCCCATGGATGGCCCCTGAAGTTATCCAGAGTCTCCCAGTGTCTGAAACGTGTGACACATACTCATATGGAGTGGTGAGTGCATGTTATTTCTCTGTGAGAGGGAAGGAGAATTCCAGTGTAGGTTTGTCTTTCTGAATAAGAAAAAACTTTTTTTTTTTCAAGACTTGAAAATATTTTTTGATGTGCCTGAGAATGATGGGAAGAACAGTTTCTTGCATATTTAGTAAGATTCTTTAGTAAATCCTTATCTGATTAGATGAGCCGCATGCCGGAGTGGGAATGCTGCTTTGCTGGAAGAATTGAGCCTATGGGAAGGCTTGCAGGAGGTGGTGAACAATATCCATCTTGAATCTCTGCTTGTGTTTTAGTGGGACAGATGAGAAATAGTTTATATTGTAGTAAGTATATAACAGGACGAATTGGTGAGGATATTTCCATAAAATGGAGTGTCATGTTAAAAAGTAAGTCACTTTTTCATGCCTAATTGTTAAAAGAGCCTGTGCTCATTATCTGGCAGCTGTGAGAACAGAGCCTGTACCTCTCGTGGAGGTAGAGGCCTCATATGAAAGTGCAGAAAAGGCCAGCGGGGTTCTGCCATTTATCTGACGGGGGAATAATGATTAACACTGTTACATTAACATGTAACAATGTGAGTTTTGCAGGTACAGTAGTGTGAATTATTTCACCCTGTCCACAGTCAAACTCTAATTTGTTTTTACTCTACAACATGAAACGCACCAGTAATAATGCTGCTCGGATTAATTGCCTGCCTTGCCCCATAGCCCTCTGTGGCAGGGAGCAGTAACAAATACATCAAAGAAAACCAGAAAGAGAGCAGGGTCATGGTTTGCATATGCATGGTGCTAACGTACCCAGTTTGTTTTGCGATTCAGTGGTGGGTGACACAAGGAGGAACTCTTTCAGTACCTGTCAAATATTGCCTCTTTGCCTTTCTGATGGGTGGGAAGAGCGAGATGTGAGGGAGGCACTGCAATTTTAAGCTAGTGTCAATAACCATGCATAGCTAAGCTGATGGCCCAATAGAAGATGACAAACTTCTCGTCAGAGAGTTATTTATAGTGGAAAAAATTGAGACATGATGTGAAGTGTCTTACAAAGAAAGGGTTGAAGATTTGTAAGGAAAGGAAAAAAACTGTGTTGTCATGTTCAAAATCCTTGCTTGCTTAACTGAGCTAGGTCACAAGCAGTAACAGAATGTAGCTGACAAATGTAAATGCTAATGTAAACTGTTATTGGAAGCAATCGCATATTATCCACTGAAGGGAAACATTCCAGTTCCAAAAGAAAAAAAAATCCTAGAGGAGAAATTCCAAAAATGGTCTTATAGCTCTAAGTTGCTCACAATCTTGATGTGAATTACCTATAAGTGAAGTTCTAGGGGTGCAAGAAGTTAAGAGATTATTTAATATGTTATCATGCCAAATATTGTCAAAGTCTGAGGAACAAAATGTCACACTAAAGTTTATTTTCCTCCTTAAAAAATAAAGCTCTTTTAACAGTTTCACTGTTGGAGGTAAAACTCAGCTAATCTGTAATATGTGAATCCCTATGAAAATTAGAATGTTACTAGAATATTTTAATGTGGGTACAGGCATATAGTGCTACTTCACATAATATATGATCCCTTTTTTATATAAGTTTGTAAGTTAGTGTGTTCTACTGTGGTTACAGTAGATGAGCTAGGCCTGGAAACGCCTTTGCTTTCTGAGGGGATGCAAGGGTAGAACTGAAGAATGACAGTAACCTAACTATTTTGCTGGTTAAATTACTGACATAATTGGGTTGTACCAGCAAGAAATTGTCCAGTGTAACTTGGAAGATTGGAATCCCCTAAAATAAGTGTTAGACTGTCAGAGAATTAGCTAGATTGAAAACAAAAAATCTTCGGATATTTTTGTCTCTTTAAATGATTATCATCTGCAGAAACAAATTTTGAAGAATCTCCTTTCAAAGTGTAAGGCTTGCCAGCAGCCTTTGTGCTGGAGAGACAAATCTGCTTTTCTTCAGTTAAAGTGCTGATAACAAAGAACAGAATCCTTTCAAATGTAAACTAGTGAGATGCCTGGAATAGACATTCTGTTTGCAGTATTCGTGGCCTTCCCTAAGTTTTCAGCTAATTTATTTTCTGCTATTTTTTTCCCTGCCTTACTTTTCTTTCTATATACCTTTCTGTGGTCCTTCACATTATGAGAGCCTTTCGCAATGGGTGTCAAAGTCTTCCTGTCACCTGTGGAAGACAGCCGAAGATGAGCTTGCTTCTCAGCTGAAATGAACTCCCCTCGCTTTGCAAACAGTCCACATATATGTAATAGCTAATGTTTGCGTTAGTTTGACCTCCTCTCCATGATTGGCCAAACAGGTCCATATATTCTTTTGAGGTTTATAGTAAATATTTTATAATACAGCCTAAGAAATGCTGAAGCTAAATGTTCTGCAAGAATTGTTGTGAGACACAGATCTTGAACTTTCCTTCAGACAGGCAATATTTCTATTTTCTAATCCATTTCCAAATCCCAGTGTTACAGGCAATCAACCCAGACATTCACTCACATCAGTTACACTTTTTCTAATGTTATAGTATTGCCCAGAAAATGATTTCTTGCTTCTCTTTCAGATAGGAAAATATATGTAGAATTATGATATTTAAGCTAAAATTTTTTTGAAGAATATATTATCCTAGCGAAATTGTTTATAGTGCCCTGCAGTGAATGTATGTATCTATACAAATGTATTTAATCAGAGAAAGCTTATGTAGTGCAGCTGAAATATTTTAATGCTTACAAGAACAACAACAAAAAAAGTAAAGCCATTAATTGGTTATTGGTAGCATAGAGACTGAAGCTAAATGTGGCAGCTGTTATGCTCTTAGCAATAGTTCATGCATTGCTTTGGCTATGAGGACATATGTTATTTATAGAGGGAATGTTGGCCAGCACCAGGGGTTATCCCTTACTCTTTTTGAAAAGAATTATGAGATCTTTAACTTCCACTTGGATCAATGTGGAGAAGACTGACCTAATTTTTGTGGCTAATAGTAAGGGTAGTACCTGTGGGAACACCACACTGCCTGCTTGTACTGTAGTCTGCTAATTGTGGCTCCCAAAATTCATCTGTTTGCACATTTTTACCCATACAAAACATTCTGAAAAGATTCAGTTAAAAAAAAGTGTATTTGTTTTTCTCGAATTACTCATTCAGATGTTCCCTATCTTGTATGGCACTTTGAATTTTTGTTGGTGTTGCAGTGGGATTCTTTTTTTCTGAGTGTTGTTACACCAGTGCGAGAGTAAGAATTGGAATGCACAGCTGAGCTCACAGAGGTAAGAGTGGGAGCTTCTTTTGAAGACCCTATCTCCCTCATTCTCAATTTCATGTACTGGATGGACATTCATATGTTCATTCTTTCTCTTTCACAGTATGCAAAGAAGAGTATGACATCTTCAGCAGCCACAGTTTCCACAGCATTATATTAAATAATGCTGCTTTCTCTTCCATCACTGTGCACAGGCTGGGTGTTTCTTTCTGAGCACCTGCTGTCTGTCAACCCCGGGATGCTGTGTGAGCAGGAAAGCAGGTGATCCTCACCCTCCGAGGTGTGAGGGGAAGGGCACCGTGTCAGTCTCTCAATTAAAATCCCCCAGAAATGGGAGACAGATTAATTTCCAAATAAGGTGAGCTAGGAGCCAGTGCTGAAAGTGAACGGAGCATATCCTGCAGTCACAGAGCCAGGAGGAAGCTCGTTGCAGGTGCTGCGTCCGCTGCCGAATGGCTGTGGGGACGGGAAGAGCCAAATGGGAATGCAGGAGATACCCATTTGCTGCTTTTTATAAAACTGACGTATAATCATTCACCTTAGCTGATGATTCAGAGCAGCTGATTATTAAGATGAGGTTGAACCTCTTATTTATTTAATACTGAAATGTCACCATTGGAAGGAAAGTCTTTGTGTGGACCATTGACCTCAATGTGCAACTCACACTGGTGTTAGAACATTGCTCTACACCCCTGCAAATAAATACACAGGTTTCTGATATTGCAATTTTCTGTCTTTTTTTATTCTCATACTGCTAATGAAAGATAAAGCATTAAGAAAAATATTTTGTATCCTGTCAGACTGCTATTTTTCTCTCAAATAACCAGTAATCTGGAGTGCTTGGAGCTAGTGCTGTTGGTTTAGGAAAGCAGTGATCCATAAAGGCAGTGGAAATAAATACTAAAGGTGTCATGATAAAGGAATTCAGTGCAAACTGTTCTGCACAGGCTTATGTGTATGAATGGAACTAGGCGGCCCTCACAATTCACAGTCTTCTGAAAGGAGGAAAAAAAAAAAAACGGAACAGTTAAGTTTTCCAGCTCCAGGCTCTGAGACATTTAAAATACATTTTATTATGTTATTTACCTGGAAAATGTATTTAGATACTATTTTATCTGATGTGAAAACTTGAGTTTCTTCTTTGTGGTTTCCTGTTACAGCCACATGGATGAAATGGTTCTGCAAGGCTGCTCAACTGAATGTTTCATGTGGTCCAGGGGCTTTTCTTTTAAACAGGCGGTGTTGTATACTCCTTTTCTGTCTGAACTACATGGGAATGCTAAATTATTTCACTTGACTGCAGTTAAATTTCCTTCTTCACCAGCAGAGAGGTGATAACAGAACTTACAAAATTATTTTTTCTTCTTCTAAAGGGGATGAATTGAGGCAAACAGGATAATTGAATACCTATATGAATATCCGTCCTTATGTATTCCTTATGCCTCAAAAAATAGTTCTTAGATTTATTTTTCTGAGATTCCCTTACCTTTGCTAATCAGCCTACAACTCAAGCAGAATTATTCAAATGGATCTATTGATGGAGCACCCTGTTCACTTGATCAAAAGCCCAACCTGGCTTCAGTGCGTTTTTATTTATTTATTTATTTATTTATTTTCCTCCTTGAGCAGTATCTGCCATTTCTGCATTTTCCTTACAATTACCTTCATAGCTGGCCAAAATCCATTCAAAATGATGTGGCTGGGATAAACCTGAGTACTGACCCTAACAGTGGTGATACAGAGACTTGCTTAAAGATCTTAATGCATTTAGTCAGATATTAAATAAATTGTCTTTTCTGTTGTTGTGCTTGATATGTGAAGAATAAGTTTAAATGTAGATATTCGTAACAAGCTATGGATATACCTAAGGATATTCTGGTAAGGAGATAAGGACATCCGCAAGAGAAGATGTAAAATGTCTTTTAATTTGATTGAATACCAACATATGTTCTCTATAGCTGAAAAACAAATTAGGTTCATTGACTTACAGCCTTTTGGTGGTACCAGACTTCTTGAACGAGGTAACTTAGAATTACAGCTACTCTGCTACCAACCTGCTAAAGCACCACATGAAATGAGAGGAGCTCTATCTATATCTAAAGATAGTATGTCTGTAAAGAGATTGAAGGGCAAAAATATTTTTATATATCTGCTGTATACTATTTGTTATTATTTAGTTTAATAACACATATTTGGAGACAGTTATAGTTTTACTTACAAAATACTTTTTATGGGTTTTTTTTTTGTAGGCATATCATAGGAGCAAAATACCTTTTGGATCAGATTCTGATGCAAAATTACTGGAAGCTGTAGTTGAATCATACAGAAATATTTTTAAATGAAAAATGAAACGTGTCCAGTTTGGGCTGAGAAGGAGAGGAGGAGTTCATTGCCTTGCCAAGGCTCAACTGCTGTGTGTGAACTTGATAGTGCACAAAGAAAGTAGAAAGCATTTCCCATGGCTCTCACAAAATCGCAGGCATTAGACCCCACACAACCCAGTTTTTCATGTGGGCTTTTCTGTAGAAGAAAAAGCAGAAACATTCAAATTAATTTAGTGAGAGGATCTTGCACACAAACACTGGTCCAAGTTCCTGGAAATGGAAGCTGGTCGTCTGATAATTGGATACAGGATAGTGCTGTATCAAGGTTTAATAACGTATTTAAAATACAAAGTACAGAAATAAAAATTCTTTTCTTTTTTTCTGTTCCAGGTTCTCTGGGAGATGCTAACAAGGGAGGTCCCCTTTAAAGGCTTGGAAGGATTACAAGTAGCTTGGCTTGTAGTGGAAAAAAACGAGGTAAGACTACGTTTCTACATTCAGGTACATAGATCAGAAAACAGTATTGGGGTTTTGCAAAAGACTTTTTCATCTTCTTCAAATTGAAAGTAAGTTCACGCGTATGGAAAGATTAGCAGTAGGAGCTAACACAAAGGGTCAAAGTGATGTTATTCCTCATGAATGGACCCTTTACATCTAATTGTTGCAGCTTCACGTCGTGATGCTGTAGATCAAAAATTGTACAAGTACTGTACTAGTTTCTCAGTCTCAATTGTAAAACCTAGGGGTTTGTTCTTAGTGATGAAAGAAGCCATTGCGTCCAAGGTAGGGGAACAGTTTAACTCCATCTCCTGCGTTTAGGACATCTTTTTACTGGCCGGGAGTTGATATATCTGTAAGAGACCTTCAGCTACTTCAACTTAACTCTCCCAGCAGGAGTCACTATAGTACAAGAAACTGCCGCTTAGATGAAAATTTCAAAAATAAAAGAAGAAAAAATAGTTTTAAAAAAAGAGAGAAATTACAGTTTTGCCACCTACGTTCAACACTACATTGAAGATGAGCTCCTCACTGGTATCGGCAAGGCTGTGGCATAGCTGCAAGCCTCCTCATGCAGAGTCTTTCCATTTCAAAAGCACTTCAGTGGAGTAAACACCGTTTGTACAGTGTCCCCAGCCTCGCTTTTCTTCTCCTCACAAATTGAGGCTTTCAGTTAGTTGGACATGTGAGCATACATCTGAACACATACTCCCTTGATATCAAAGACAGTAACTACATTTAAAAAACATTTAAAGTTGTGACTGTACCACACACAGACAAGCATGGAAATCCTCCACAAAGATGAAACCTCCACTATCTAGACACAGCGGAGACTTGGGAAACATTACAATGGCGAGGCAGTGACTGTACAATACAGACTTCTATTATTCTACATACACTGTTTCTCAGAACGCTTCCGAGTTAAATAGTAGAGTTAGGATTCTACCTCTTAGTTTAACATTTTCTGTTTTTTTTTTTTTTTGCCTTTTTTCTGACTTTTCTTCTTCTATTGGGGCACTGGAATAATTCCAGTGAGGGTTAACGTGATACACTGTTCAGTTGGAAATGCTACATCAATGAGTGAAGATTATGACTGTGGTCTTCTACAATGTTTGTCAGAAGGCACGATAAGACTCTCTCTCCTAGTTTACAAAAAGCCTCATATCAATCTGATGAGAGGGGCCCATGAAGCCTTCCATTAACAGTGTGTGTTTCCTATGCCTACCAATTCCACTTTTATGTAAGGGGCACAGACTGGTATTGGGCATGCTGTAAAGCGATTTATTTATGTGATGAAAGATGTCAGAGGGTACACAGACATTTCCTTACATTTTCAAGATCAAGGAACTGCATAAGCCCCAGTATGAACAAAAAATGTTCATACTATTTTACTAGTGGCAGAAGAAACCTAAGGGGTAAAATTTTCAGACAGCTGTTTAGCAGTTACCTCTTACTACCATCTTCTTTGGAAGGGTGCCAGGAAGCTTAGAGGGCATTAACAGTTGTTTATATAGCTTTTATTTTTTTCTGGCCATGACTTGGAGAACGAATCTTGTAAAAACCTAGTTGCACTGCTTTTCTTCACAATTGAGTAATTTTGTATGTCCTACACCAAGTATAAGGGCCAGGTTTTGCTCTCAATTCAGTGTTTTGGCATTAATGGGGTTGCATAATGGGGTTCACAACAGAACTGAAGCCACTGTTGAGTTGGTCCTTCATTCTTTATACTCTAAGTTTCATGTTTAAATCAGTGTGGGATTTGGGCCAAAGTGTAATTATTTTGGGTGAAAAACACCCTTTTGCAGAGCTTGAGCCCAATAATTAAAGTGGAATTCAATGATTCTGTACAGGTCTTTTTTGATCCTCTGCATTATTTCATAGAGCGATTTTTCATTCTGGTAGAATTTCTGTATAATTGCATATTTTTTAATCCAGAAAAGAAAATTATGAGCATTGAGATTACAGCTGACATGAGCTCATAACTCAGTAGAATACTACCTAGAAATGCCATCTTTTTAGAGCATGACACCTTTAAACCTGCTACCTGTGTATTACATGACAAATAACATTCTGCACAAGTAAGGCAATTTTGAGTGATAATTGCAACTTTCTTTTCACCTCTTGGACTAGCGAGAGTGGGGACTGTAGTAAAAGTAGCCAGTGTATTTTTAGGTTAATGACTCAACCAAATATCAAGCATTAGTACAATTTGTTTATGCATTGAACAAATTTCTGTGTATTTCTTGCACAGAAAGCTTTTCTCTTTAAGAAAATACATTATTTTAATAACCATACTCCTGCAATGCCCTGATTGTATCTCGCATTTCCATTTTACGTGATGTTCAAATGTTTGTGCAGCAGATTTTATTAACTCTTGTTTTGGCTGCTGTGGCTTGTGTGGCTTGTAAGGCTTTGCTTGTCATATTAGAGTAATATAATGGTAGAGCTTTCTCTGCTTTGCTTCTGAAATGCCAAGAGTAGCAGAGATCTAAAGTCTTCATGGCAAGTTGGTTTGAACAAGATGTAATATCTGGTTCTCGCTTGTTTATAGAACTGGGAACCCTTTTTCCACCTTGGCTCCTCTTATATTTGGACTTGTTCCCACTCTCCACTGAGAAAGTATTTTTTATTTACATTTTTTTTGGATTCAGTATGAAACATCTGAAGTCAGTTAACTGTCTCAGTAAGAGCAGAGGGATCTCCTTATATGTGTAATGCTGGAATAAACACAGTCAGCTGGAGAGGTTGTGTATCCATGTGCATAGACATGACAACAGATTTGCTTTTAGGCTCTCCAGTCTAGAAGGAGAGCCTTTAAAAGTCCTCTAAGACTGCGAGAGAGAATCTTGTTAATGATTTGAAAATCTCAGTAAAGAAAAGCAAACCAGGTTCAAACTAATTCTGTATAGTAAGCAGTTCTGTCTCTATCCAGCAACCCTTTGCCTTCAGTCATCAGGAAATAGTTATGAGTTCACTGTGCCCTGGGAGTGCTCTCTAAGTTCTTCATATTCTCAGCAATTGATTTGATGGAAAGCTCATGAAACCTGCTGTGGTGCAGAGCTTCAGTTAGCTCTTTTTAACTCACCTCTGTAAGCTACATTCCAGCAGTTTGTTATAACAACAGTCCAGTACCGCTGGATCATCCATGTGGGAGAAAGGAAGTAAGATAGCTCCTACGTTACACCTGTCTTGACAAGCATCTTGGAACACTATGCAGTGCAGTAGCCATCTCCAAAAATATATATATTTTATTACTAAAATCTGTTTGCTGAATTTTTGCCTCCTTGTGTTTTAGCTTTCTTAAGCAACTCCAGTAGTATATTTGTTCCATTCCTTGTTTGTAGGTCTATTAAATTAGTTTTATTTCTTAGCAGTGATGTTTTTTTGATTTTATATATATATAAATCTGTAGGTATTATGTTTTCAAATGAAAGAAGGGAGCTTTTTACTTCTGGTAATGGCTTAGATTTTATAGGAAATCTATTCTTAGCAGCTTAAAGGGAAATGTTTTCAGTAACTGATACATTCTCTCTCCGTTAGAGATTAACCATTCCAAGCAGTTGTCCCAGAAGTTTTGCGGAACTGATGCACCAATGTTGGGAAGCTGATTCAAAGGTATGGTTATTATATTAATCATATATATTAAAGTGGTTATACTGTAATAATACTATAATTGAGGTACTGTAATAGACTGTTTAACCATGAAAGTAGACTAAAAATGCAAGTTAAAGAAGAGTGGAACTTTTGCCTCTATTTATCTGTTCTTAAGAGAATAAGCTAAAGGAGAAATTATTTACTCAGAAAATGTTTTGTGAGTCATGGGAATAATCTTTCTTAACCTGACTTTGCTGACATCTTGTTCTACAGAAAGCTAGTTGGAAAGAAACTGTGGGCATACTAGTTTTGTTACCAAATACTCCCTTGCCTGTGAAGGTAGTTAAAAGAGGGAAGGATACTTGAGAAAGGAAATTTTGCTCTTTCTCAAATCGAGGGGCCAGCAAGAAATCCTGGCCCTGTTAAACTCTGAAGGAGGTTAGTTACTATTTCAGGGAGATCAGGATTAATTCCAAAATGAATTAGCACTTAATTAGAGCACCAGAGTGTAGCCCTAGAAGACTAAGATGAGCAAGGAAATTTCCTTTCTCAAGTTTCTTTTAGGAGCAAATATTTGGAGTATTTGGAGTGCAGAGATCTATCAGCAATATGTGTTTTCTGCACAATGGTTTGAATCTTTGAACCTGCAAGGGACCAAGCCTTTAATGGTGACTACCAAGAGTCAGCACCCCTACCAAAATGCCACAGAAGAAAATTTACTGAAGCATCTTTGCTCTAGTTGCTGCAAGTACTAGTTCTGCTCACTCTTCCACTTGCTCCACCAAGATAGATAAGGGTCCAGGAGGCTGCCCCTTTCATGGAGAGGGAGGCATCTGCTTGTTGCAAAACAGGGATGCCCAAACAACAGGCTGCCCTCAGTCTGCTGGAGCAATCAACCTAGGTTTGGCCCAGTCCCTCGTAGCACTTCTGATGCATGTAAAGAGTGAACCTCAGGTTAGACTGATTTTCTTAACTGTGTGTTCTTTGCCACTTCTTTGTGCACCTTCTCTTCTGTTAAGCAATTACAAATGCTTCATTCACGTGACTGAAATGGAGTAATCTCTGGTCATGTTTTTGAGCTTATGACTGATGTATTCAAGGTCATGTGTTGGAAAAGAATCACTGCTTAAGGTTCTCAAGTGCCTTGATAAAAGGCTGTGTGGCCTGCATGAGCCAAAAGATGGAGCACACTCCTCCAAAATACTGCACTGTAACGTACCCTTTTTGCCAGGATTAACTTTAGAGTATCAGAGTAGATACATGACCTGGAGGTCAAGCAGAGGAGGTGAGCTCAAGAATGTCAGCTGCTCAAAAGCAATTGCTCATGTATGAACTTTTAGCCAACAGAAAGTGTGAGGTATCTTTGGGTGGCTTATCCCTCAGTAAGAGAGAGCTGAGATCCTGTGCTTTTACTGAGAGGCCAAGGAATACATGTGGAGAACCGCTACAAAGCGGCTGGGGTGCCAGACATGGCTCACGCCATGACTTTCTGATGGGATTGAACACAATTATTAGCTTTGCTTTGAATTCTCTACATTTTTTTCCTACTTGGAGAAGAGTGTCCCTAGTTCATTGCTCCAGGTGATACATACATTGGTATTCTTTGAACAGTTTCAACTGTTCTAGTTAAAACAGTTGTTGCTCTTGTGGGTTCAGAGCATTTTACTGAAATACATTAAGTCAGTAATTATTAAAGAACCATCTCAGGGGCAATTCAGTATCCTAACTACTTCCAAATGTTAAAATCCCTACCAAACAAGCTGGTTTTGCTTATCAGATAGTATTGGATGGTATTAGATAGTATGAGATAGTTGCACAAACAAGGCTGTTCATCCCTAATGGCTTTGTTTGCTTTTGAAAAACAGATGAGTGATTCTTTCTAGCTTCATCTGTTCTTTCCACCCATCTGTATCCCCCACCGCAACAGTAAAGATGATTATAAATTATTGGACATATGGAAAATCTGGGAATGGAGAAACAGCAAGAAAGGAAAGCTGTATGGGTTAAGTATGCTAGTTTTTTGCAGACATAGTAAGAAATAGAGTGGAAGGAAACAGTGAATGTATTACAGTTATTTCTAGAACATGTATCTTAAATTTTTTTTTTGTATGAGACATCATAGATTAAGAAGGGAAACAGTTTTCAGAGGTGACTGATACCTTGATATTTTAGGAATGTCTTATAAGGTATCACTTATGAAGCCTGATTTTTCCAGAAAGTGCTTAGCAGTCATCCACTGAAAATAAGACCTTTTTTTCTCTCTCTCCAGTAGGTTGGGCCTCCAGTTTCAATAATCATTTCTTGTAGCTTTTAGCCAAGCTACCAGTCTGCACCTACAGTGCATTTGCAGAATTTAAACCTGCCTCTGCCTTGGGGATAAAAACCAAAGAGCATTGTAGGCCCATGTCCTCCTGTCAGAAGGGAAAAAAGCTGGTCCCTGTCAGTCTGGCAGGGTTCTTGGTGGCTGTTCACAGCCATAGAGGCACAGCCTTTGTCAGTGCTACGTGACTGTTTGTTCCAGCTAGAGTTGCAAGACTCTGTAAAGATTTGCTGCATGGATCAGCTTGGTTCTGCTCTGGATAGAGACCAGAGTGTGTTGTTGCTCCTTCCAAATCCATCACTCAGAGCTTTCAGCCACGCTCAGTAGAAGCTCTGCTTTCTGTCACCCTTATCTCAACTCCGGTTGTTGCAGCAGGCCGGACAGTCATGTTGGCCACGTTCACTTGGTATTAGTTCTGCCTCAAACTGCCTAGTATGCCCTCGAGACAGAAGGAACTAACAAAATTCACAGAAAGGTTCTGTAAAAGGATCTCAAATAACATTAAGGCAAGGAGGAGGTGTTTGCTCATTGTCTGCATGTCCCCGTGCCCTCACGGGGCGCGAGGGCTGTGCCGTGGTCCGGGGCCTTGGTGCTCGGCCCCAGCTGCCCCCGCAGCACCGGGCACCTCCGGGGGCTGCCACAGGCAGCTGGCGGCTCAAGACGCCGTGGGTTTGGGGCCAAGCTCCATGTGCACGTGAGCAACTGGGGCAAGCACTGCAAAGAAAACCAGCATAGCTCCAGCAGCTGCCCCTTTGCCTGGAATCATGGAGATGGACCAAAAAATGACACTCAAAGCCTCCAGTCAGAGACAAATAGTGCAGCATTACTGTATAAGAGAGCTTGTCTCTTTTTTGTTACGCATTTGACACTTTTTCAGGCTGTTTGACATTTTAAATAAAGAAATTGTCTTTCTTTTATAATGCCAAAATCACTTGGATCTTCCTGGGAGAGACACCTCAGCATTGTTCCTAATTGTTTTCATGCTCCCAAATTAAAATGCACGTTTTAATTGCAGCATCTGTAATTTTAGCAGAAATGGTATAATTACAGGCAAGATAGAGAGAGAATGTGCATCATCCCCTTATTATGTATCTACATTTTGTTTCAACCTTTTGTCTCAACCTTGTCTGGGGTCTGTCAAACAGACTAACAGAGTCTCTTTCAAGAAACACATTTAGCTGTGGCTTTTTCAGTTATTACTGTACTTTGTAGGGCAGAAAACAGGGAGAAGTTTTACCTTTTCTCTGTCAGTAGTATTTGTGGTTATCACGGCAGGGGCTAGATTGAGAACCCTGGAACATCATGTCCTGTGACCAGGATGGGGCCAGCACAGAAACCAGAAACCTGAGCTTTGCTGCTGGGCAAAGACGCTCGGCATCTTGGTGGAGCCTGGATCTTCATTTCTCGGTCCTCATGGGGTAGCTCTCTAGAGTGCCAGTTTAAAAGTGGAAGGATTTTCTGGAGAGTCTTTCTCTACAAGAAATGACTGGCAGCCAGAAAACCGTTTTTGATGGACAACTAACTTGCTTGTTCAGGCATTAAAGAATTTATGTTACTACCTGTAAAAGACAGCTTGTCTAATGACCAGTTGCTAATGGATCCAACCATCTCTTTTAGGCAGTATTTTCCTTCTTTAGAATGGAGAATCTTTATGGTTGTTGATACTATGAATGCTGTTTAGTTTTTTTTTTAATTGGTTTCAAAGGGGAGTACCAGAGGATTTTACTGGTAGATACGAGATGCTAAGTTAAGGCTTGAGTCCTTAGATACTCTTTCCACGCTGACCTTTTTTATTTTTCAGTGGAAAGAATAAAAAATCTGTAACTTTATAGTCCTTTTGTAGGCTGCTGGATCAGAAAGCAGAACCCCAATTTCTGTGTTGTTTTCAGACTTTCATTTGGAAAAATCCTGTAAGAGATTTTTGCATAGTAAAAGGCAAATATGACTGCAAATGCTGTTATTCTTTTTGTCTTCAGAAAAGGCCATCTTTCAAGCAGATCATTTCAATTCTGGAATCTATGTCAAATGACAGCAATCTTCCAGACCAATGTAACTCATTCCTGCATAACAAGGCAGAGTGGAGGTAAGTTTTCTTGCTTCTGAGATGCAGTGATACAGTGTTCTTTGAAATAATGTGAATCCTTATTTGTTTCAGAAGACTTTGTATGCAATAGGAAAGACATCAGACAATGATGATGTATTATGTTTTGGGTATTTTTAGGATATAATTTACCTTGTTTTTCAGGAATGCTCAGAATGTCGTGAAACTTGTGTTAGGAGCCAACACGCTTAGCTGTACACCGTGCTTACTGGCTTAGGTGTCATGGTATTTATGGTTTTGTGATTCACATCTTAAACCCAGTTACGTATTTTCAGTCAGTAGTGTGAGAATAAAAACAACTCAGATAAATGCACAGCATGATGTAATATTCTTGGAAAGTAAGGATCTATGTTTGTATCAAAAGCATGATAAAAGGCATAAAGGCCAAATTTTCAGAAGACAAACAGGGGCTTCATTTAGGTGTTTTGCTGTTTTTTGAGCATACTTTCTGTTTTATTGTCTGTATATGCATGCATTTAGCAGAAGCTCAGCCTTCAATTTTTGCATTGTGCACCAGAATTGCTTGAACATGCAATTTTACCTGGAGTGTGATGACAAGTGCAGAGGAGATTATTGGGAACGTGACACTTTTAGAGGAGAAGTTTCAGGTTATTTTTTGCATATGCCAAAACTTCAAAGATGTCCCCAAAGTTTACTGATCGGTCAGAAAGCCGGCTGCTTCACACTACATCTTTGTGTTTGGAGGAGAAAATTGCAAGCAGATCTGCATAGGCAGGAGATTTTTACCAGATGGTCGTGCCTCAGTCTATATTAAGAAGCTCTGGCCCCTCTCCAGGTAACCTGGGGGCATAAATATTAAAAGATTCCCTGCCTACAGGCTGTGCAAGACATGAAGAAAGCTGCAGCCAGGGGTTGGTAAGAGATGGGGAAAATAAGACGGAAATGATTTTTTTTTTTGAACAAAAAAACGATTTTGCACGTGAACGTGCATTAGAAATCAATCGATGCGAGTGGAAAAAGTGAGCTCAGGGTGGGCGGCAGCGCCCGGTCACATGGCGGGTATAAATAGCGCCTGGCGCGGCCCGCGCGCCCGCCCTGACTCAGCAGCGGGACGCGGGGCCCAGGCGGCCCCGCGCAGCTCCCTCGCGGGGCGCCCTCTGCTGCCCCCGCGCCGCCACTGCGCCCTGCCCGCCGCTGCCGAGGCGGCTCGTTTAGGAGTGAGGCAGCAGTCAAAGCCCTTCCGGGAACACGAATTTCCACCGAATCCTCGGCCCGGCGAGCAGAATAAAAGCTGCTCCCATTGACATTTGGTGCCATTAAACTTTTCCTCTTTTACTTTTTTTTTCCCCCAAGCGTGACCCAAATAGCTTAAATATTTGTTATGAAATAATTATTCTCTTCCACCCAAACTGTGTGAGGAGTAGCTCACAATGTCTTGGTGAAAAATAACATATAAACAAAAAGTTCTTTTGCACTCTCAACTCATGGGTAAACTTATTACAATGAACGCTCATGATCATGGTAAACATGGAGTTTTTTGAGAAGAATGAATAATGTGAATGCAAGGAGATAAGAGTGAGAAAATACAAATTTATGATCGGGCATGATCTGTATGAAGAAAATGTAGCTTCTGAATTAAGTCAAAATAAAAAAAAACAGTTAAAGAAGAGAGCAGATGGAGTTGGACTTGCTCAGAAACAGGGCAGCGAGAGGTTCTCTCTTGTGAGACTATTTGCTGGTTATAGCTGGCTTCCCTCATGCAAAAGTCATGTCTATATGGAGACACTTTATGAAGGTTGAGCCAAATTAACAGAAACTGTGAATGTAAAACATGCTAATTAAAGCAGATTAAGGACTGGTATGCATAGATTGATCCCAAAGGATAAGCTAAAACAAAGACCATTTCTGAGAACAACCACATGATTTCAATGTGCTTTAACTTTTGCAGTGAAGAATCTTGACATTCACTTATTGCACTTCTTAGTGTTTTTTTTTTTCTTTTTTTTCCAATGGAGAAAGAATTAGATGTACTATGAAAAAATAGGATATTTAGATTTAAGTTAATGTTGTGTGCTTTTTTGAAACTCTCAAGTCACTTTTATCATGGTAGGAAAAAACTACAGTGGAAGTAATGATACTCCAATTCAGTGGGAAATCCCATTTGTCCACATTTTGTCATATATACGAACAACAGTTCTCCTTCTGTCCTGTCCCCACAAGCACTGTTCTAGTGATTACAGCAGTCTATTAGTGATACTTATGTCCATGTATCAGTAGCAATTCAAGACGTATATAAACAAATGCCAGTCCTTTTTTTTTTAAATCTGTGACTGTTCATCATTTACAGTAACACATATACATTACTTGATATCACAAACTGATATTATTCTAGAAAAGAGAGCAAGCTCGAACTGCAGAACTACAGGAGCAAACAAATACACACACCCTGCAATGTATCATGTTTCAATCCACTTCCCTTTTGAAGTGAGACTCATTCACTGGGCAACGTACAGTAGCTTTCTCTTTAATTACACAGTTTTATTACACAGTGGAATGATTTTTCAGAATGCAACTGTTTGTGCAGGCTGACCTTTTATTGTAAGAGAAGTTTCTGTCTAATGAAGAGAGGTAATTGCAGCATGGAGTTGACTTTTGGCGTATAGAGAACTATGGGCTGCCTGGGCTTTCCTATTGCAGAATGTTATTTAAGAGAGAGCCTTCATTTACATATTTATATATACATTAAAGAGCCACATTTAAGCAGCTGTGATGTTGATACACGGACTAAGAAAAGCAGTGCTTGCAACTATCCTCAAAATGCTCTTTAGCTCACACAGTAGATTGCATAGGATGTGTTGCACCTGGCAGAAATGTGTTATGAAAGGGACATAAGTGTTCAGAGAGGAGTCACTTTTTGGCCTTTTATCAAACAGCTAGTAGTTTTGTTTCTAGATGCAGTCGAAGTTCTGCCAAACATGTGCATCTGCAGATCTAGCTGAAGCATTATCTGCAGCATTTTCTGGATGTTTTAAAACAAAAGTTAAATTTGCTCTTTATTAGGATCTGTGACTACTTCGAGCCAGTGTAGCAGTCAGCCTTGACCTTTGCTTGCCTGTATATGAGAGAGAATTTTGCTTGCGATTTGAAGCATAATAATTGTGAGGGGCATTTGTTCTGACCACCACATCTAACAGCTCACTCAGCATGATTTAAGTGTGAGAAATGCCCTTCCCCAGGTGGCTGATTTTTGTAGTAGAATTATGTGTGGTGGGAGAGTTTGCAGTAGTGTTTGCTAGTTATTCTAGCTCTGGATTTTTCACTCTGCCTTTGTAAGCATTACACTCCAGCAGAGATGTCTTATTAAAGCAGGAAATGTATAAGATTTTGAATATTTATATTTTCTCATTTACTTAAAAATAGGCCATTTGGATATGTGCTTTCCCATATTGATACTGGAGAAGAACTAAATCATTCCATGATAGAGTAGGAGATCTACAGTGCAAAATATTCATGTTTTTCAAGTAGAAATGATAACTACTTTTCTGTTAGTCATTTTATTTCCTTTTTGTAAACATCAGAAGAGGGAGATTTTGTTTACAGTAATGTTTATGAAAGTAAAATGTTGCCAGTGTTTGGGCAGAAGTGTTTAGGATTGCCAGATCTCAGTAGTTGTCTCTGAAGTTGCCTTTCTGATTCTAGAGAGCAAAACCAAACACTGGCATTGACCATTCTCACAGTGTGAGTAGGAAAATTGCAGTCAGGATACAGGTTGCAGAAGGTACAGTCTGCCATGCAGTCACAGAGAATATTTGTTAAAACCTCCAGTAATGAATATCTTGATATGAGCTACAAGCAAAAAAGAAACATCTGAATTCGACAGAATTATTTTTCAGGACGTATGGAGAAACACCCATGCATTTGTAGTCTCTTGTTGAACTCTTTCCAAGAGCACGTCAGTCCATAGGCACTTTTAGAAGATGCTGTCAATCAGAACATATGTCAAAGGAAACCACTCAACCAAGGGAAGAATTAGATGTATAATGCAACCTATAAAGAACAGACCTAAACCTCCATTTAGTGTTGCCTTCACTTCCTGGTTTTCATATTTTCACACCTTTGCAATGTATGGTGAGAAGCAAATGAAACCAGCCAAGTAAGCCATTGCAGAAACTTGCAATCAGTTCCAGGCCTGGGACATATCTTGTTTTGCCTTCTTGCTCTTGTATGCATTCTCTTTTATCTTAACAGAGAGAGGCACGAAGGTTAGAGGGAAAATATTGCAGTACTGATTCTGGGTATGAGGAGGATGAGTCCAATAACATATGTGGCCAAGCTATAAACTTAGCAAATAGGGTTCTCAGACTGCCCATATAGAGATGTTAATAATTGGCCCATTATCCCTTCTTAACACATTTTTTTATTGATAGTATCATATTTCATGATGTTTAAGGAAAAGGTGGCATTTTACTTTTCTAAATTTTATTGTTCTTAGACTGGAGGCATTATGGTTGTTCTCAAGTATAAACATTGCCAGTTTTTCTTAAAGCTCTGAAAGGTTTTGAATTTGGTAATTAAATGAACTGCTTGAGTTAGTATTGTACTTTTCAGCCTTTCACATTTAATTAACATTCAAGGGGGAATTATGAACAATTTATATCTGTCAGGAAAAGACAAGACGTAACAAATTGTCTCCGTGCAGATGTGAAATTGAGGCAACCTTAGAGAGACTAAAGAAACTGGAGCGTGATCTGAGCTTTAAAGAGCAGGAACTAAAGGAACGGGAGCGACGTCTGAGGATGTGGGAGCAGAAGTTAACCGAACAGTCCAATACTCCTGTAAGTAGACAATAATTCAACCTTTCATCCTATTTCAAAAAGCATTTGGAGCTTTGTCTGTGTAAATGTAAGGGTACAACAAGGAGGTAGTGCCCCTGGGTCCCCTGTTTGTTCCTTTGGGCCAATTAAGGCATATTTTACTAAATCACTACAAATAGTAGTACTTTTTTAAAATTTTACCTGATATATTAGATATACATTAGATTTTAACTGTGGGTCGCATTGTGCCAAAGGCATTTAAGTAGTTTCCCGTTGATTTAATTGCAGTTCTCGGCTTTAAAAGCTGATTGTCTGAAATCAGATAACCATTGTATTCAATAAAGTCATTTTTCAGCTAGAAAGTTGTTGACTTTAATGGATACAGGATTTGGTCTAAAAAGCTTGAATCATTTGTTTCTGGCAGAAGAAGGTTTGAGAAATCTATTCAGATTTTTTATCTCTTTTTTTGCTGGAGAAGAAGCAAATTTCTATTCCACAGAGAATTTGAGGTGTTAATTTGGAGCTTCACGAATAACTATAATTAACATACTTGTACTGGCCAGTCATTAATTGTTAGAATTGCCACATTTCTGTTAATAAATGGAACAAAAAGCCTTTTTTTTTTTTTAATTATCTTCAGTTTCTTACTGAAGTATCATGCCATTGGCTACTGATTGCCAGAGAAAGGCCACTGGGTTAGCACCTGACTACACATATTACAATAGGTTTGTTGTTAAGAAAAATACAGCATTACCCACTCGATTTTAAAATACTAGCCAAAACAAATAGCAAATTGAGATTGCAGTAGCATATGATTTCCTCATCCTATTTATGTTATAAAACTGATTCCAGCCAGTGCCATTTACATAAACTTGTTTTCAAGGTATGGCTTATTGGCACTGTTTGAAGTTGAATTGGTGTTTCAGTTGTGGGCATGTATTAATGAAATGACAAAGTATCAATGTTTTCCTATGCTGGACACTGTGTGTTCTCAGTAGATATCTGTATGCCTGCTTTAGTGCTTGCAAACTTTCAGCAACTGAGCTGTGGGCCATCATCTACCAGTGCACGGCATGAGACCCAGCCTTAATGAACCAGTCTTTTGGCGAGCAAAGCCCTAGGGTTTTTTATGCTGTACTTGCACGTCACTTCTACAACTCAGAGCTAGCATTGCTGAAAGAATGCAGCATTGTGCTAAGCATGAACTGCCTTTCTGCATAACATTAACTCCTGTATTGTGTTTAAAGGCAATTTCTTCCAGTAGAGAAACATAGATTTGTTTTTTTTCCCTTAGATCTTCAGTGGAATGTTATGTAGAACAGATTATTAAAAAGCCCTTTTGTTGGGGGGAAAAAAAAAAAAAAGGACATATAGAAATTGGTTTACCCTACCAGGATCAGTCTCTTCCTGGCAAATGAAGTTCTAGGGGGCACTCAATTACAACTACAACTCTTATCTTAATATCATAGCTGTAAATAATTTCAAAAACATCCCTGAGCATTCTTTTTGCAAGCTGTAGTCCTTGGAGTCAAGCACCTCTGCCTCCTTTCAGGTCTGGATATGCCTGCCCAGCAGTGTGAGGCTGTGTGATTGCAACAGGAAGGGGCACTGCTTGAATTTAAGCTACTTGATTGCAACAGCAGTAGTAAAGATACCGCAACTAGGGCTAATAGCACGAGTTCGAGTGCCCGCCAGGCTCGTACTCGGCTCTTAGCTGACACCAAGCTGTTGTCTTGTCAACAGCTATTGCTGTTGTCTCTTAGCTTCAGCTGTCACCCCTGCTGTATGCTCTGCCATCATCTCTTCATTTTGCTCTGCAGCAAAGACCAGAGGCCAGCAGATACTATTAAAGTGGTGTGCAGGAGGAGAAACTCAAACCAGGTGAAAGTAGAACAGGGAAGCGCTCTCTGCCACTTAATTCTCCAATCTTTTAGAGTTGGTGCCAGCTCCATCCTGCCATCCTATGTGGTAGGTAGATCTGGGTAGCAGGCTGCTCCTACTCCAAGGAATAAAGTACAGCTTTGCATATATCAGTATGAGAGATGGATGAGGGCAATCCTTAGCAAGGCTTCTGTGGTAGTCATATTTCTCTCTGCTCTGGTTTTGACCCTGTTTCTGCTGTATCTTACACCGCAGACACACTTGGGTCTGATCCGTGTGGATTTGCTTTGTGCAGGTATTCAAGAGCCTTTTGCAGCATAAGGGAATCTGGAGCCTTTGGGGGGAATAAAATATGTCCCAATACACACAGCTGTAGTGAAATAAGAGCCATTTTTTGAAAGAGGACCTGACTTTAAGAAGGGCAAGTGTGTAGCTCAGCTGAATGTAACGTTGAGAGGAAGACAGTGAGCAGGGCTTAAATTCCAATATTCACCTGCGATGCCATGCAACTTGGAATGGGTCATGTAAGAACTGTGACTTGTATAGAGGTTGGAGATGAGAGATCACAGCCATCTGTCAAAGCCTTCATGATCTGTATTATATGTAATGTGACATAAAGGCAGAGGCTGTCCCAAAGTGCTCTTACTCTCTCTATATATAACAAGAGATAGCAAAATGTGGAGGAAGTGAGGAGTGAGTATAATTCACAAAATGAGCCACATTCAGTTTGCCACCCACATTGTCAAAAATAGCAAAGTGTTGCCTCAGAAGTGCGCTTCAGTGGAAAACCATGTTGCAGCTTTGTTGATTTTTATGGGGAGTTCTTCCCCTGTGTTAGGGGGATGGATGCAAAGTGGATAAAATTACAATAGACAAAGTAATTACCAGGCATTGAATTGTTGCGAGCACTGGGTATCATGTTTCTGTGGTTAGGTCTTGTTTTTAACATAGTAGATTACATTAGTAGGAGCTTTTGGTTTTCTTGAACTGAACAGTGCTTTGGTGGTTGTGTTATCATTAAGAATGGTTAGTGTTTCCCCTCTCTTTGTAAAATTTATCTTTATTTCTTAAATGACAAGCACTAATTTTTGTCAGGACACAAATAGAAAGTGTAGGTAAGTAGGGGAAACTTAGAAGAAAAGACAGATATTCTCATTTTTTTGTGATAGTTTGTCAACAGAGTGTCTTTTGCCAAGAAATGGGTGGTCTTTGAGCCAGCTGGCCGTGTGGTCTCCCTGCACTGCAGACCATTGTATTATTGTTGGGCAGATAGATATGGATTTTACTGGGACACTGGGGAGAAGCTGAGCAACCTGAAGAGGCTGTTCAAGGGGGCGAGCAGCCCCCTCGCTGCCCCGCTCCTTCCTGCGGCGGCTTCCAGGAGGGCTGGGCTGGTCGGGCTGGAGAGCCCTGCCTGCCGCCTTGGCCATGGTGAGGGGCTTGTTTCCAACTGCGGCAGTCGCAGGGATGACCCCTCCTTTTTCTTTTGATCGTATGCTCCAAACCAGTCTTTGTATCGATAATACTCTGCTATTGTTTTTGGTATTTAAAAGGCTACTAATCTTCACCAAACTTTGGGAGCTTTGGGGGTTCTTTAGTCATGCCCTGATTTATTCTTCAATCCTGAAGGGTTCAATAAAGCAACTCAGACTTCAGTTGTGCCCGCACTGCACTGGGAGACAGCCTGTCTGGCTAGGAAATGTCATGATCTGTTTTATGTTGTACAAAATGAAGGCTTGAAGAGTTTGAACCTTCTTTTATCATGAAAGCTCTGCTACCTATGGTCCTTGCCATGTGATTCTGTGACTTTGCACTTTGATTTAAAAACAATGACCACACAATTAAGCTAAGACTGTTTTAATACGTTCTTACCTGAGCTTGATATTTAGATTCACTAATCATTATGCTTTCTGTTTTTTTGCCAACTAATCTGGTGGTGTCTTTTTTCTTGATTTTTAAATTGGTTCTAACTTTCACTTTTGCTCTGTCCTTTCCTCCTTTAAATAGTTTCTCTTACCTCTTGCTGCAAGAATGTCTGAGGCGTCTTACTTTGAATCTAAAACAGAGGAGTCAAACAGTGCAGAGATGTCATGTCAGATCACAGCAACAAGTAACGGGGAGGTAGCTGGCATGAACCAAAGTCTGAAGGCCTTGATGATGACGGGCTTTGGGGATATCTTCTCTCTGAACAAAGCAGGATCTGTCCTGCATTCTGGAATGCAGATAAACATGCAAGCCAAAAAGAATTCTTCTAAAACCACCTCTATGAGAAAAGGAAAGAAAATCAACATGGCTTTGGGTTTCAGTGAATTCGACTGGTCAGATGACGATGATGATGATGATGATTATTTTGATGACACAGACGATAGCAGCGAATGAATCAGTTACAGAATTAAGTCTGAAATCGTTTTTTGCAAAGCAAAACAATAAAGTTTTAGAACAAGAATCCTGTCAGTTTGGTCTGTTTAAATCATGTAAAAGAAAAAAAGTGAGTTTTCCAGGCTGAGCATGTTTGTGTGTAGAAAGACATGTTGTTTCCATTTAGATTGTGTTGACTTATTTCTACTTGGATGAAATTTGGAACTAAACTTTCAAAATCAATTGAGATTATTATTATTTTAAGAACTATGATTATAGCTATACTACTTGATGCCTGATTACAGAAACTATGGCTTGATGAATTAAAGATCTGAAAACATTGGGGGAGACTTTAATGCCTATTGTACTTCATTTTTTTTCTTTGTGTTTTTTTTTGTCATTTTCCTTACTTCTTTTACAGACAATCATATGAATATAATTGTACTTCCAGATTTGCTTTTCCTCTACAATCCTTTCTTTCTTACTATTGCAGTGAAGGGGTTTGCTGTGTTTCTAATTTAAAGTCTTTTTCAAGGCAGCGTTGTGGGATGTGACAAATATGTTTCTGGAAAAAAAATGAAGCTTGAATGAAAGAAATAGAGGGGTTAGTTAAACACAGTTTAAAAACTGAATAGCAGAAGAGTATAGATAATCCCTATTAGTAGCTGATTTGTATAAACGTTCTCATTTCTCTTGTGTGTGTGCTTGTGTATATAATTCACTCTAGCACAGCCAATTGCAATCAGACCTCTGCATCTATTAGCAGTTATTGTGAACTAGAAGCTGATTTTCAGTTATGTTGATGTAAATCCAGGAAGCCTCATTACCTTTGATGGACTTACTCTTGTACCTGAGAGTAAAAATCGGTGTTAGGTTATTTACAGCAAATTTTGCTTCTGTTGTATCTCTTAAACCACATGTGCCATCATTGTGAGAGGAGGAAGAGAAGTCGCAAGGACGTTTCTGCTTGGGCCTGACTACTGTGGCTCATGTGAAATTCTCGATGATGGTGGTAATGTGAGGAATATTTGCCAGTCTCTTACTATCTGCTTTTGCAGCTAAATCACTTTTAATGTATTGCCACTGCAGTGATGATTTATCATAAAACTCAGTGTGCAACAATCTGCTGCAGTAATTGCCTGCCAGACGCTTACACTGAGAGCAGTGAGCTCGTTTCTCCTGATGACCTCTTCAGTGGTGATGCAGGAGGAGGGAGGGAAACCAGTGCAAACACACATGCGAGTTAGAAAGGCAGATGATGTAAAATATTTGTCCAACGAAGAAGGGCAGCATTTCAAAAGAAAACTGTTACTGTCTAGTTTAGCCGTAGTGGGAATAGTGGGAATAGTGGGAATAAGTCATCAAAATTCCATTATCAATTACTGGATTTTTTTTAATGGAAACTTCTGGTTTTGAGTGGCTTTTTTTAATTATGGGCTTGTCTGTTACACAGTTCTAACCTACGTATTACGGTGAATGTTTTTATAGGTAGTTTAGGGAGGGACAGATACATTAGATAACAGCAGGCCTGAAATCATTACATGTGCAGGCAACAAAGGCGAAGTTGGTGGAGTTTTCCTTGAGTGATGAGCAGATGGCTCTCTGAGATGCGGGAGTTTCATTCGGAGAGCCCTGCACTGGTCTGATGAGCTGCAAGGCAGCCACTGCTCCAGGTAGGGCTAGCTTATTCCACTTGATTTTCACAGGATTTGACCCTCTAAATGCTTAATTTCTGTAGGATATCCACATTTCACCTCCTACCTAACAGTTGCAATTGTAATTTAAATGATATAATTTTATTTTGTATCCCAGGGGGAAGCTTGCTCCTTCAGTATAGATAATGATAGTATACTATAGCAGTATAGTATAGATAGTCAGACCTCCAAAATAACCTGATTTTGGGGAGGAGGAGGATGTTGAAGGGCAAAGAATTAAATAGAAATAAGAGCCTATAGACTCTTATTGTAGTGCAGATTTCCATTATTTTTGTAAGTCTATGTCAGCTAACACCCACAGCAATAATATTTTCTATCTGCCATGTATATCCAGGAAAACTTGATGGATCTGTGTAATCTAATATGTGCACTTAAGATATGTAGCATTGTCCATAAATTGCAGTACTACATGTCCAGCTTAGTGTTGCACAGTTCCAATGAAGAATAAATTTGGTTTAAAACATTGATTAAAAAAAAACTGTCCCTAGCACAGATGTTTTGCACTTTTTTAGCATCTGACACTCCCAAAGCACTTTATGCACCTTTATATTTGTGTGAGTTTTAATTGAATTTACAAATTCACTACGTAATTTTTACAGAATGAAATAAAGTCCTTAACTAGTATATGATGCAGGGTTTCTTAGCTGCAAACACCTGCATGTGCTTTATTTCTGCAAAACATATTCAAAATGTGGTAGCATGCTTATAGGAATTTCTGCTGGTTAGAAAAAAATATTTTTTATAGTGAAGCAAAAGTAGAATTTCCTCCTTTTTCACTTTTTTTTTTTTTGGTCAAACTTAAATAAGGTGTATTAAGGAAAATTTGAAACTCTCAAAGTTGGTATTCAAAGTGGTAAAGGTCTTAAAATTGTAGATAACCTTAATAACCTTAAAGCGATGACATGACAAACTATCCTGGTGCAATTCCCTTGTGACAGTGTTATACTTAGAATATATAATACACATATATATATATATATGTAATACATAGGCTGTGCTTATTAAAAAAAAAAAATCTGTCTTTATTCTCTTGTGATGAGCTTCATACCAGATGTCTCAGTTTAGTAGCCAAAAATCATATACGAGAATCAAGATGTTTGTGCCTCTGACATGCTTATAACAAGATAAAGATTTTGAATCCAGCTCTGGTGTGCGGGTGTGCTAGCATGGAGGATATCAGAGTATCTCATCTTTCACACCTGATTTTGCTCCCTAGCACAAGCCAGTCTGTCTCCTACCCGTATGCTCCCCCAGGTATCCGTAGCCATCGGCAGTGCCACGCGGGTCGGGTTAGGAGGGTGTTACCACCATGCCGTGGGTGTTCCTCTGGCTTCTCTAGGCTGGGAGCGAGGTCTTTTAAGATCCCAATGTTCTCTGCCTAAGTAGAGTTCTGGAAGTAACTTCAGTAAAATAGTATTGCTCTATTTTAATGAGAGAGTTCTGGAAGTAACTTCAGTAAAATTGCTCTATTTTAATGAAAAGAAGGGTAAGAGCCAGGGCTGAATTTTTCATTTTTTACCAGGCTGCTACAATACCAATGTTGACTTAAATAAATGGGTAAGTGCCTGTGGGAGGAATGGTGAGAACAATCTTTTGGTTCCAATAAAGGTGCGAGGTGAGTTGGGACCGAGACAGCATGTCCTAACTCCCAACTGGCCCTTCAGAACTAGGAAAAAATGAAGGGAGGAAGTCGCTGTAAACTGATCGAGCCAGCTGGTTCCTTGGAGTAGCACGTGTCCTGATGTGTAGTGGGTAAGTGCACTGTGCTACCAGGCCAGACTTGGAATTAGTCCCCTCTAGGTGGGAAGAAGGACTTCAAAGAGGTGAGATGTGAGGTAGCTCCTTGTCACACGGCCACGTTCTTGACTTGTCATTTGTTTATCACTTGCGGGGTTTTGTTAGATCTTAATTCCCTTTCCTTCTAGATTTTAAAGCTATCATTCTGAGTTAAATATTTGTTGGCAATAGTGACTCATATTGCTCTTAGCAGTAGTAAATCCATAGTGTTCATATAGCTGTTAAGTATCTAGCAGAGTTACTGTGTGTCTTTAGTACTGTAGTTCCTTTTCTGTAATCAGGCAGCTTTTACAGATTTTTAATAAGGCCTCTAACTTGACAGAGGTTTTAACAACAGATTTATGTAGAATCCAAAGTTCAGGTAGAAAAATAACTTCACTTAATTTTCACAGCCCTTAAAATGTACTGGTAGGAATCTGGAGGAGAATGTTTTTCCTTTCCCCTCAGACTTCGCCTCAGTGTACACTGTAAAGTCTGCACAGGGATTTCTGATGAGTGAAGATTTCATTTTAAAAATGTAGAACCAACAACCTACTTTAAACATTCTATATTGTGTGCCTAATATTCATATGCCTTTTAAAGTCAGATATAGTCCACTGCATTTCTTGCTTTTGCACTACTAAAAAAATTTTGTACTGAATAGTAGGAGCTGATGCTACTTACACTTCAAGTGTGATCAAAGAAATTTGAATAGAAAATATTTTCACAGTGTTAGAAAACTTAATTCTCCCTTCTGAAAAAACAAACAATGCTGAGCAATGCCTGTGCCAAAACTCTTGTGCTGTAAACTGAATATAGAATTTGTGTGGAACATGCAATGTTACACTTCTGTGTGGTTAAAACCTTGCAGCGTCAGTTATTCTCTTTATTGCACTTGACATATGATGTCTTGTTTTATTCACACTGTGGATTTGATTTTCCAGCGTAAAAACAAAGCAAACCAAAAGAAACCATGCAATGTATTCAACTCCTTAATTGGTGTCATAAACTTTCTTTTGATGTGAACTTTTTCCTTTGCTTCTCTTTGTTCTAAACTTCTATTTTGCAATAAACATTTTGACAGTAAATTTTATGCATCTGTGTTCCTGTGTAAAATGCCAGTGTTTCAAGAGGTTCCTTATTGTCTGCTGGTTTAATTGTTTTCATGCTACCTGGTGTGACATTTGTCCATTTTTTCTCCATTTAAAAAAAAAATCCACTTTGAAATAGGATAATATTTTATGTCACTGTTTCTTTTTAAAAATGGGAAAAGCTGAAAAAAGAAAGTCCATTATGCAGGCAAAAATACAATATTGGCCTTCTGCAGTAAGCCGTTTGACCATACAAATTATTGTGCGAGGCTCCTCACACAGGAGCAGCCACTGCCTCCCCAAAGACCTGTGTGTTGCCTCGTGTCCTCCCTAGCTGCTGGTGGTTTGCCCCAGAGCTTCCTGGCCAGGCCTAGGTAGCAGTTAGCATAGGATATGCCTGACTAACAGCAGGTGGGTTGAGAAGATTGGCTGGAAATATGTTGTGAAGCACGGAAAAGACTGGAAGGCCTCTTTTTTTCTTTTCTTCCCCCCCCCGCCCCCCTTCTTCTCTGGCAGCACCTCCTCCCATCTGCCACCTCACTGAGCTGCCTTTGGCTGTGTCCACTTGGGGGAGGCAAAGGAAGGGGTTTGATGGGCCCCTAAGTCCTCCCCACTGAACTGGTCTCCTGGCAGGTTTGTGGCCAGGAGGGTTTGGCTGAGCCATTGAAGTGAGGAGGAGGAAGTCCTCAAACTCCGGATGGGAGGGACAGCAAAAACCCAAAGCCGCAAAGGCAGAGCTCACAGGATGCAAGGGCGGTCATAGCCCTGTGATGGGGGTGTCTCGTGGCTGCTGCAGAAGCAGTGGTTGGAAGTTGTGGGCAGGTTGCACTAGACAACAGTCTCAGTGCTTGAAGAGCCTGGGAATAG